AGAGAGAGAGAGAGAGAGAGACTTGCTCTCTTGACAGCCCTGTGGTTTCTCGTGTATTAGGACGTAGGGCTGTTGCACAATGCATGGAACAACACCGGGCCCTTTGTGCAATACCGACGATAGTTTTTCTTTCCTTTTTTTTTCTTTTTTTTTCTTCTCTCAACTGCCAGTCCTCTTTTTCGCACACGTTAGCTACGTCGGTCTTCTTGCTCGTTCGCGAGGATCTGTCCTTAATTCGTTCGCAAACTCAACAATGGCTGTCCGTTTTCCGGATCGTCGGAGGCGATGGAAAGCATCGCTTTACGCCCAGATTTTCTTCTTATTCGCCTTTTTCCTTCATCGAGACCTTTTGTCTCTCTTTTCCTTTTCTTCTGTAGTAGTCTCCGACCAGGTCGAGATTATCCACCAGTTTGGTTCCTGTTTTGTTCTATTTTTCGATTTGCATACGAGCATTTCTATCTTCGAATGTGTGTATGTGAAACGGATAGGATTAATAGTATACTTGTCTCTTTCTTTCTTGAATCACATTTGATTCAAATTTTATATCTTTGATTTTTTGTTATCTTAATTCCTGATTTAAACGTATTGAAAATATTTTTTCTTTGGTTGAAAATATTCGTTAATAAAATATATTAAATATTTTACATTCAAATATTAAAATTTGTAAATTTGAAAATAATTGAATTCGTCTTATTAGTGTCGAATATTAATTATGATGATATAAAAAGTACAATATTATATAAAAAGTTCTTAACTTTTGAAAATATTTTCTTGCCAAAATATAAATATTAAAATAATAATAGATATATTAATACGATGAAAATTATAATAATTATTAATAATTGAAACATTTAGATGGAAGACTCACCAATTCTTCAAAATTCTCACTCAGAATCAGAATTTAACACAAATTACACGACGAATAAATAGCAAATGAAGCATTGCGATAGCCCTTAATAAATCAACGCAAATCGAATTATCATTATCACTCGTCTCTCTCGATTCCAATTTGTCAAATAATAAAAACTAAAGGAGGAAAAATCAAGAAATTCATAGATACACTCTTAATCGTCGGATTCTTACCCAACCGGTCTGAAAGCTCGGTGTTTGTGCATCGTGGCGTCCATCGCGAGAGGCGAGATTCATGTAACCGCGAATAGAAAATTCCGCAAACACGGGGCAATTAATATCCAACCGGAGAGATCTTCTTGTTGCGGCTCATCTTTCATCGTGTGGCTTGTACACACTGGCGAGAGGGACGGGTCACGATCGGCGAGCACTTTTTCATCCATCAATTCTAATTGATGCCGCTCGATTTACCTCTCGACGAAGCGGTTTTTGCGCGCGGATGGTTTAGCGATATTCCCATAATTCACTTTATATCCTTCGCCCGGTGGAAAACCTCGGCAATCACCGTAATGGAACCGAGAGAACCGCGAGAAGAAAGAGAAAAATCGAACGACATCCTGGGATTCCTGTGGTATCCTACTTAATTTGCTTCAGAGTCTCGTTTTTAGTCTGGTGAAAATCCTGGTGAAATATTAATTTGAATTCATTTAATATTTCAGCGGAACGGCTGAATTCGAAATGTGATCGATTAAATTTTAATAAGTTTTTGGGCTAATAGATATGCGGAGGATAAATATTGGTCTTTGACCCCTTCGTGGACGGGTTACTTCGTAATGAAATATTGAAATATAAATCACCAGTTCTAATGGATTTTCCATTATAAAATATTGGATTATCAATAAATAATATCATTTTAAAAAAACTTTGTTTTCGATGATCCATGTTTACAAGGATCATTTTCTATATTTTAGATGCTACTTTGATCAGTTTTTAAAAGAACATCTTGTCTTTCCAATTAAAAAACTTCTTTAATATTAATCTATATGGTTTTTAAAATCTTATCATTCAGAATATTCTTCGGGAAAGCAAAATGGCAATTTGTTAATCACGAATAAGAACAATATTTAATTTAATTTATATCGCTCAAATCGTTCAATTTTTAGAATCAAAACGTTTTCGTAATTAATTTGTTCAAGAATTAACTAGAACTAATCTGTTTTTATTTATAGATGAAACCAGAAAAATATTGTAAGAAAATATTATTGTTTTGATTCTGAAATATTTAGGATATTTATGATAAATAAGTCAACAACTATCCTTATATCTTTCTCGTGTAATTAATCTGACATTTTTACATAAAACTGTTTATATAAAAAATTTTTAATTCATCTTCGTTATATATATTTTTGTAATTACGTGGCACAGGCATTATTTCGAAATAATCTATTATCTGTCTAATTTTCCATTACAAACTACAATTATAATAATTTAATTTCGTTTTATTACAATCGAGTTTCCAAAACAAAATCATTCACGATATTATCGGTGCAAAAATTCTCATCAACGTCGTATCGCTCCAACCAGACTTAATAATTCTCCAGCACCAAGATGAAATATAATAGAAATTTCTAAATAAAAAGAGAAGAGTTTCGCGATGTCGTGGAAGATGCGGCGTCGTGCGAAGACGAGCGAGAAATTGAATCGAGAGAGCGTGATCCATGGTAGTCGTTATCGATCTCAGCCTCGGATCTGATGAATGGAAACTGGTCACGTTAACCGTAATTTCGCGATTGATGGCGGCCTGTGCAAGAAGCTTGCTTATATATATATATATACCCAACTCTACGTGGTCCAGTAATTCTCAAAATCTTTTCTCCCCGTTAATGACGGTGAGTTTACGTTCCGGCACACGTATTACCCATACGCTCGTAAACAGGAAAGGATAATGAAATTACTTAAAATAACGAAGGAGCATGCGCATTAATTACCGCGCGCAGATTACCCTCGTATTGCCTTCGTTAATTTCCTGAGGTTACAATGCGTGCAACGATCCACGTTGCGAAAACTTTCTCGAATAAATCAGGGAGGGATGGAGGGATTCGTGCAGTCATGACATAATGGTAATATGAAAGAGGACAAAGAGGAGGGGATGTCGACGCGACGATCATCGATAAATTGATAAGGATTTTCCCTTATCCTGCGAAACGAGCGAAGAGGGGCGGGATGGATGGAAGCCCAACGTGGAAATTAATGATTTAATGGAATTTAATTGAACGGTCCAGCTTTTCGTCGAACGACACCGGCTGATTTATTCGAAAGCGGTGACGGTGTCGATCGTGACGTAATCGCTTATCTTAATCCGCGAGAGGATGTTCCAGCTCGGAGGTAAATGACATTTCTCCTTAATGACCGGGGAAACGATAATCGAGTCAACCGGTCGACTTAACGTCAATCACTCTCTTCCTTTCTCCCTCTATCCTCCTCCTATATCCATCTCTATCCCTCTTCAACAGCTCTCTCTCTCTTTCTCTCTCTTTCTCTCTCTTCAATACCACTTTTATTTTCAATTAGAATACGCTTAATTATAAATCGGACTTTTTCTCTCTCTCTCTCTCTCTCTCTCTGCACTTATAGCGCACCTATTCTTTCACCCATGAAATCTCGCGCAAGCGCATGATTAAAACGGGTTATATTAATTATCGGCTGGCGTGGACGTGAATGAATCGCGGCGCCGTCGATATCCACAGTCGGGACGAAGGGCTGTGGCTCTTTTATTTTTGCGAAATTTCGGTATTTGTAACGTAACTGCTAAAATATGCATCGAGTGCCCGCGTGGCCCGGGGGTAGGCCCCCGGGGGTGGATATCGAAATTTGCGGCGTTTGAGCCCTGTGTATTTAATTATCGAACGCTCTACGCGTGTGATTAATATCGGCTTCTTCTTTTAAGCCAATCAATTTTAATTATAAGCACATAAAGAGCTAACGAGAGGCCGGGGCCGCGAACGATGGGAATTAATGAAAAATTCATATCGGCCTGGTATCGATAATTCATCGTCCACGTTTATTGGATATGAAATTTCGACAGAATTTCGTTCGGGCCACTCTCTGTTACATATTGCCGTATCAATGTCGAGTTCAAATCACGTGTCGTGATTTCAAGAGGATTCTTTTATTAAC